ACGAGGCAAAATCTGCATGATGTGATTTAATGTGAGTTGATAGATGTCACTGATCTCTATTATAAATAGACTGTGTGAATTCCATATGATGTATTATTTATCTATTGTAGATGCCTTTTTGTTTCATTAATAAACCTGGAAATCAGACGTATACATTTCCAATGATGAGATTTTGGCAATACAAGGCATTGTGACATTTGTCTGCAATTGCTCAATTATTTTGATGATTTTCTTCTTCTTTCTCTATAAATGATTAATGCTTGAGATGTTTGTTCAAGAGTCTCCTGATTTTAGCTCATTTGTCCAGCTGAGTTCTTTTTTCCTCCTCTAATTAGGGAAGATTATTGCAGTGTAAGGACTTCCAGTGTGACCTGAATTCCAGTTCCTGGGAGATGCTGCACAGGAACACACAACAGGGGTCTGGGACACCCAGAAAATCTCACATTCACAATGAGGCTTCCATTTAAATCTGCCTCAGAGCAGAAACTCCTCTGCTGTTATTCTACCTACACTTGAAAACATTTCCACGGTATTTCTGTGCCTGAGAAAGTTCAGAAAACGCTTTGCTGTTTACTAAGATAGGAAAGGACTTGAATTCTTCTCGTTTCTGCAGAGAACAACAAGCAGCAGCTGGTGCCTTCCACTCGTGCTCTCAGAAGAAGCACAAAGACACCTTTGGAGACACTAGAGGACAAAGAATTGGGAAGGAAAGGTAAAGCTGGGGCTGTTCCAGGAGCCCAAGTGTCAAAGCTGGGCTCCCTGGGATGGGTGAGGACGGGGGGTCCCTGGAGGAGGGAAGAGGGGCTGGCAGCTCAGGCTGCACGTGCCTGCAGAGCAGGAGGTGCTCAACTCCCACCAGGAATCCAGTGCCTTGCCCGAACGCCTCCATCACTAATCTAAAATTTGTCTGCCTTCTGCATTTGATCTCCTCATTTTCCTCTTCTATGCCTTTTTAATGCTGTTTGTAGCCATTTCAATTATGTGATTTCCTTATCTGTGTACCATGGAGAATACTGTACAAGGCTTTATAAACAGCTCCTAAGTTTATCTGCCTGTCATTTGCTTTTCATTATGCGAGATAACAATCTTCCTCATATCTTATAAGAAGATAGAATGTGATTGTTTTGAAATGGGGAGGGGGGGGAAAAAGTCTACTCTGCATTATCCTCAGCCCCGTAGCGTTTGTAACGTCACCAGTGTCAGCACAATCGCCAACATTTTTCCTTGCTGTGGTCCAGGAAGAATTATCTCCTTAGTTTTTTTTGTGCTTGCTGCTATCTCCTCTTTTTCTCCATTTTAGACACAGCGAGGTTCTTATCTGGAGCGTGGTTCTGCAGCTACAGATTTGCCTAAATTGAGTGTGATGGCTCCAAACCCTTTGGTGGAGCTCGTGCACCGAGGGGAAGGGTGAGAGGCAATTGTCAGCAGCTCGCTGGATTAAATACGGACAGATATTATTCATGTCATTTGACAGTTCCTGACTTTCAGCTGTATAATGACAGAGCAACAGTAGGAATTCCAGCAGCCCAGCTTCTGTCTTACTTCAAGATAAGCTTATCAAGCGTAGCCTGAATCCATCCAGCTCCTCAGCAGATCAGAACTCGTGTCAGGCTGAACGGCCCTGCCGATTCCTGCCTCCTCCCCTGCTCTGATTTTTCCCATCTCACGCTGCCTTGCAGGGTTTTTAGCAGAGCCTGTGCCTTGCCTGTGCTCAGCTCCTTGTCCAGGAGCCTCCTGGTGCCCCTGAGTGCCCCAGGAACAGGACAGGGAAGGAAGGGACCGGGTGATGGTCAGCCCCGGTGGGGTTTGCTCTCTTCATCCATTCCTTGGTCTACAAAGAGCAGCTGCTTTGTGTGGATTCTTAAGGTGAAAAAGCCAGCCCGAGGTTTCTGCTGTGCTGTTTATCCCAGGGGTTCAGAGGGATCTCTGAACAATGCAGGAATCGCTGCTGCACTCTCAGTAATGCTTTAGGGTTCAGAATTCACCAGGTGTCCGTGGAATTTCCATGTTCCCTTGTGTGCCCCCCCCAGATTACAGCACTTTCCAAACTTGTGGGATCTGGTGTCAGGGGAGAGCTGTGGGCTCAGAACTTTTGGCAGGTGAATGTTCAGTTTAAGGAAAAAAAAAGGAAAAAAGCAAAGTTGTGAAAGGAAATTGAGCGGGTTTGATCACACAGGATTTGATCAGACAGAGTTTGATTTACAGGAGCTGGAAACTCCTCCAGGCTGGGATTACCATTCTGGTTCTGCCTGTACAATGAGGAGTATAAAACATATAAAAATGTACAGATGTTGGCACTGGCTGTGGCCACAGGCCCTGTCCTGTCCCCAGCCAGCCCTTGTCCCCTCCACCAGGGGACACCAAAGAAAGCCAATCACTCCAGACATCTCCAGAATATTTTCAAATCATTTGTGCTTATTAAATCATTGTTGACTTGGTTATTCTACTCTGAATGTGGTCATTTTTTGAGGAGCAGCAAGCAAAAGTGATCATTACCAGAAAAATGGAAGATACGGTGGTTTTGCAGTTTCTTATCAGTGAGAAACTCTTTGCTGCTCGACTTCTCCCCAGAATACGTTGGGAGAAATAGGAGTTCGTGTTTCAGAATTAAATACACGCCTCAACAGCTCGGTTTATGCACTCATAATTACAATTAGAAACAATGTAATTGGGAATGGAACTTTTTTTTTTTTTTTTTTTGTCTGAGTGCACAAAATGAGTTGTGAAGAAAATGTCGTTTTAAGCCATGCTTTCTCCCCCACAATTTAGGAACATTTAAGCTTCATCTCCGACATGCATTGGGAAATTAGGGGCTAATTAAGTCCATATGGGGCAGTACTGGGGTGAGAGACCCCTGGGTCCCTCCTGAAATTCCCTTTGGCACAGCAAAGCCCCAAACGCTGGCACACGACAGGACACAAACCCACCCCGTGCGACGGCTCCCCGTAAATATTTTAATTCCTTTAGAACAGAAAAGCCAAACTTTAAATGGAAATGCAGATGGGGAGAGTGGCACGGGGTAATTGAGAGTGGGCTGCCCTGCCAGGCGGGGTTAATGGGCAGTGCCCTGCAGAAATCCGGCTCCTGCGAATCCTTGAAATGTCAGAGCGGTACAAAACAAGACGCTGATCCAGGTCCTTGTGGTGTTAAGTGGAGGCTGCAGGGCAGCTCTGAACCCAAACGCATAATTTGTAGACACAGGATGTCATTTACGATTGCTTACCTCTCATTAAAACTAATCAGAGTGGCTTTCTGGCAAAAATTGATTTTTAATTGGAAAAGTTACATCTGTGAACCTGTTTCCCCCTGAAAAGCTGGGAGCTGATGGACAACGTCCTTGTTTGCTGAGAGCTTCAAGAGCTCTGAATGACCTTTTTTTCCTTCAGATGTTGGCCAAAATTAGCATTTAAAATATTTGTTTGTATGCTTTGAGGGATGATTTTAGTCAGAAAAGTTATTTTCCATTAAGAAACAAACCAAACTCGGGGGATGTTTTTGCTTGGCAGCTTGGGAAGCACACGGATGCTGGGATGCAAACAGGAGGCCAGGACCTTGCACTGCCTTCCACATTTCTCAGGTACTTTTCACCAGGACTGTCACTGGCAGCACAAGGTGCAGCAATGTCACTTTTAATTAAAACCTTCTGTTTTACCTGCACACAGAACAGCTGCAGCATCCACAGCACGGGCCAGGGCTGAGGGATGGAAAAGGAGACATGGGCAATGGGGAGCCCACACAAAGCTGCTTTGTGCCATGAATCCCAGAAAACGCTGCTCACTTCTCCCTGGATGTGCTCTGGGCTGGTGGCCAGGTGGGGATCGGGCACAGGATGGGCTGGGAGGGCTTTTCCAGCCCGGATGATTCTGGCAGACAGCGGTGGGCTCCGGTTCTTCTGGCATTTCCGTGTGATGGAGCAGAGGAACACAAGCCCGTCCACAAAGAGCTGAAATTCCCTTGAACCTGCCCGGGTATCCCGAGCCCTCAGTGTGGATCCTGCAGGAGAACAGGGATCACCTTCCCCAGGGCTGGAATGGGACCTGGCGAGGGCCCTCCCCTCCCCAAGGAGCCCTTTTGGGGTGATTACCCCAGGATATCGGGGCTGATGGGTTTAATTGGCTCCGTTTCATCCATCCCGGCTGAGCCGAGTGAGAATTCCCTTGGAAGCTGGAGGGTTCTGTCACAGCCCAGCCAGCCCTGGCTCTTCCCAGCCCTTCCACCCAAACTCAGCCAGGAACCTCGCAAAATTCGGGGAGCAGGGAGCATTTCCAGGGCTGTGCTGGAGGTGGGAATGTCCCCATGAGGATAAGGACCTGGAATCTCCAGGTTTGCTCCAGCCTGGCACTGCCAGCTCCCCTCTCTTCCCTTCCCAAAACACAGGTAAACCCTCACCTCCAAGGAGGGCGAGGTTGTTAATTAGATAACAACACCCAGGTTCTTTTAAACTGCTGAGCCTGGTGTCCAACGAGGGTTTATTTCTTTGTTTTGCTGAGATATTTTTCCCCAGAAATATCCTTGCAGGATGCGCCTCTGATTTTCCCGAGGATTTTCCGAAGACCCCAGAGAACAGAACTATTACCTGGAGTCACCTTTTTAAGATGCAGGCAGGAGACACAAAGCACCTCTGGAGTTTCAGCTCCTTTGGTGTTCTGCTCAGCACAGCTGAGCAAGAATTTATGCTGGCACCGAAGTTCTCAGAGCTCGGCTGCGCTATTTAAAACGGAATTTCATCCTAATGAGCCTAAAATAAAGCAATGTGTGGAAGGAGATTTCTCAGTATCCTCAGTTGGATCAGGGGCTCGGGAGGAGGAGGAAGAAGCTCCAAATCCAACCGAAGAGCACCCTCTCCTGGAGCTCTCCCGGCAGGAGCGCTCCTGCTGCCCAGCCCGGCTCCGCAGGGACAAGGTAAGAGAGAATTCTCTGCTCTGGAGAATCCTTCCCGTTCCATTTTCCACGGAAAACACAGATTATATTCACCCGCTTCTGTTTTTCTCTAGGTTTTCTATTAATTCATTAAAAATTACCAGAAGTGGGGGCTCAATTTGCTGCAAAAGGAGGTGTTAGTTCTGAAAGGTTCATTTTCAGCACGGTTTTGTGGTTACTGGAAGATCTTTCAGGTGGGTCACTCAGCAAATCGGGGTTAAGCGTTTTCTGTATCCAACAGATGCTTCATTTTGATCTATTTCCAAGATTAACATAAAAAGATACATTTTTTTCCCTATAGAAAAATAGCTTGTGGAGATATATTTTATTTTTTTACTGCTGTATGAGAAAATCTCTTTTATGGTTTTGATATTTTGCCTTCTTCAGGAAGATGCTCAGATTCGGTGGTGAAGTTTTCAATGCACATTTAAAATCGGCTCTCCACGAATACTCTGCCACGTTCTCTGGAATTCACAGATGAATGAATTTTTACAGGATTCCTGGAAAGCAAACACATCTGACCACGGGCAATATTAGCCTGATAAAGATTTAATTGTAAAATGACAACGAGCAGCAGTTGAAGTTCAGACAGTATTTCCCTGGCTGTCATTTCTGCGTGCAGACATTATTCTAATAGCAAATCCTCTCATCTTTGTTACCCTTTTCATGATCTTTTCAGTGCCTGAAAAAATCAAATACCAATATCTTGTGACACGAACACAAAGCAGAAGCCTTTTTTTCAGAAGGATTATATTTTCATATGTATATATGATACACACTTTTTTTTTAGTGGGTGACAGAGTTCATGAATAGCAGCATTGAGTTGTGATACCAAACCAAAATCCATTATTATTATTATTATTATTATTATTAATAATAATAATAATAATAATAATAATAATAATAATAATAATAATAATAATAATATTTCACACCAGGACTGTCCAAGCTAAATACCTGCTAACTAAGGACCAGTAAATTGGATTTTTTTAGCTGGAATATCCCAGGATGCTCTCTACAAGAGCAGTGTGCTCACAAAGCTGAAACTGATTTCTGATGAAGAACATGTGCAGTCACACTATTTCTCTGTGCCATATCTGAGTAAATTAAAATCTGCACACAATGAAAGTGTCTCCTACACTTTGTCCATCATTCTAACAATATCAAATGCCATCTACAGCATAAATAGGGATTTAACTCCTGCTCACCTGAATAATCCCACTAAACTCAGCCCAGGACTTTCCCTCCTGTAGCTCCAGTGGTGTGGGATGTGGTATTTAATAACTGCTGGATAATTATGGAGTACAAAAGGAATTCTCTTTCCATCTCCCAGCAGTTCATTTAGCTGAGGGAATCCTGTCAGAAGCTGGAGAGGGTTGCTGTACCAGCCAAGCAATGAGAAATGCTCCTGTCACTGGCCAGTGAAGCCCCCCTGTCTCTGAGCCCAGAAAGGTTTTTGTGGCACTGACAGGCACAGCTTGTCCTGCAGCCTTCCAGAAGCTTCTTCCAGAAGCACAGACCTCCTGAAGGACAGCAAGATTTACAGAGCAAAACTGCAGGCAGATTATTTTTTGTAAGCTTGGGAGTGCATGGATTAATAAATCCTGGATGTCCCAGCTCTCAGGAATTCCATTCTGTCTAAATTTCAGTTTTGTTTTCTCTTTCCCCTCCCCAGTAGAGCTGAACCTGGGAACAGCATCACTCAATGGCTCGTTAGTTTGATGAAGTGGCATAAGTGACTCCAGCTCCCGAGGGTACTCCCAGCTCCGGAACATTTACACATCCCCAGGGAATTCTGAAAAACACCACCAAGTCTTTAGGTACTGAATCACAGGCAACTATTTTGAATCTTTAATTTTTTTTTTTTCTATATTCTTTTCTATGAGGATGTCAGAACTAAAATATGGAATATGCTTTTCCCACTTGGTTCTTATTACTTGTAAAGCATTCAAAAGCTTCCAGAATAAAATTACCTCTATGCCCTGCCAGGGAGCAGGCAGAGCTCCACAGAGTATCAAGGGAGTCCCTCTGCTGGTGTTGCTTTCCATTTTTAACCCAAATATAATCATAAAAATGACTAAATGTGAGGCTGGAGCTGTACAGCCTTAGATTCAGCATTTATTTGTTATCATGTTCATCCCAGTGGAGTTTTACTGTATTTTTATATTTATACCAAAAAAAAGTGCTGAAATATATTCCATAAATTAAGGAGTTCATTTTCAGGTGTGACATATTCATCATCACCACCATCATCATCATCATGTGAGTTTGTTTTAAAACTTTGCTCATATGAGAGCAGCCAATTTGCATTTAGGGGGAAAAAAAAAAATATTTGAGAGAGAAATGCAAAGAGAGAAGAGGTGCAGGAAGCTGAATTCAACCCTGAAATAACAGCCCTTACTCTTTTATCCCAACTGCACATTTTCCATGGGGGGAAAGGCACTGAGGCACATTTAACCCCATAAACACCTGACATTTCCCCTGGGTGGATTCGGGTCTGAGTCCTGACAGTGAAGAATTCAACAACTCAACAAAAATACATTTCTGTTTTGTTCCAGTATTCGTTTCAGGCTTAATCACAGTTGTCAATGTGCTATTGCAGTGAATAACATTTTCATATTGAGTTATTTTACAGCTCCTACAGCAGTAAGGAATATCTTAGGGTACCAACTGATTGTTTTGGCTTTATTTATTGTACAGGAAAGCAATGACATTGAAAATATTGTATAAACAGAAAATACACTGAACAGCAAAATCCCTACCCTGCTTTATGAATTGAAATGACATTATTTTAAAACATTAAAAAAAAATCATAATTATATGTTCTCAACACAGAGACAAATTACCTATTATTTTAACATAATTAATTTGAGCTCAGAGCATTTATGTTGCTGTTTGTGTCATTATCCATCAAAATGCTAAAAATTGGAGGTTGAATCTTTAAGTTTTTCCTCCAAATCTGTCATTTGTTTGTCTCCACCTTCAATACCTGAAAGTTTTAATTACAACTGACATTTCAGTTCGTTGTCTGTCCCCTAGGCCACATTTCCAACCTCGCTTGTGACGATCTTGTACCGGGGCCTTCAAGAGAGAGCTCTCCCTCTTCAGTGACCTCAGCCTTGTAACCGAGTTTCTGTTCTTTCCCTCTGATAGGGATGTGTTTTGAGGCTTTTTTTGCATTGGTATATCTTGATCATTTATTTGTTTATACTGTTGATAAATGCATTTTTCTCTCATAAACACACCCTCCTCCATCTGCTGTGAAAGGCAAGGGGAACAATGAATGGTGTATTTCAAGGGTCAGGGCTTGTTCTCCTGGCTGGCTGAACAGGTACCTCTCTTCCCAGAACCTGGATCGGCTTGGGCTGCGTTTTCTCTGTGCTCAGGGTGGGATCTGCTGCTCCTGTGTGGTCTGGGGCAACAGGAGATGGATGGAAGCTCAAGTCCAGCCATTTCTTGTTGTCCTGTCTCCAGGAGAGCACTGAGGCCACAGCTGTCCAAACTGTGCCAGGGAATGCCTGTCTCCGAGGCTCCGATCAGCTCTGACTTTTTTATGCCTCTGATTTCTTTTTTCCCTTGTCTCTCATGATTGACATTTGTCTGTTCTGGGCCTTGTTTGCTTGCTCTGCACTTGTGGGGAGCCTGGAGCAGTGCGGTGTTTTCATGTCAGGCGGGTTAAGGGTGAGGAACATTACACATGCACACTGATTTATGCCTCAGAGGCTGCAAATCGTGTCAAGTGTGATCTCAGCACAGCTCTGCTCCATGACTCAAGCACTCGGTGCAATGTTACACTCTCAGACATCAATCCTCAGCCAGGCAAGGGAGAACTCCTCCAGAGCATCCATAAAGTCCTGGGCTGGGAGAGTTGTTAGTTATTCATGAGATAATAATGGTGTTTGCAATGTTCATGCCAAAGCCAGAATCCCATAATCACTGAGGCTGGAAAAGACCTCCAAGCTGTGCCCATCCCCACCCTGTCCCCAGAGCCCTGAGTGCCACCTCCAGCCCTTCCTGGGACACCTCCAGGGATGGGCACTGCAAACCTCCCTGGGCAGCCCCTGCCAAGGCCTGACTGCCCTTTCCAGCAACAAATTCCTCCTGATGTACAACCTCAGCCTCCCCTGGCTCGATTTTTATCCCAGTCCTTCCACAATTCTGCTCTGCAGGGCCATATGTCAGGAGCTCCTGTGGACAGCTGTGGGTCTGAAAGCTGCTGTTCTCCCAAAGGCACAGCAATTCCTTCAATATTTCAAGCTCTGCGTTGTGTTGAAGTTGGTGCCAGAAATGGCTTTTCTTCTTCTGACCATCCCTGAAAAACAAAGCTCAGAGAGAGGGATCTGACAGTCAGAATTCCCTTGGGATACCGAAGTCCTTGACCCTCAGGCTCCTGCCCAGCCACTTGTGCCACAGGTGCCTCTCTGCCTCTGCTTTTAACCACGTGTGGCTGCCACGACCTGAGAAACCTTTCCCAGCACAGCCATTACCAAAATTCAGGAATCCCTGTAAGAAGCATTAATTTGACCCCACCTCACCTTCTCCCTGAAGGAAAGGAGGCTGAGAATTCCCAGCTGAGCCCCATTAGCAGCGTGCTGGGAAATCCCAGAGGTGGGAAGCACAGCACAGAGCCCTTCCCTCCCCGAGGCCTGCAGCCTTTGCCAGCCCAGGGAGCTGAGCAGGGCAGTTTGTGAGCACTTTCTGCAGGAAGGAAGGATGGAAGCGGTGCAGGGAATTCCTCTTCGCGATGCCACAGCGGCTCAGCCCACCTGAATCTTCTGGATGTTCATTTAACACATCCCGTTAGCACTGTTCGATTAATAACGCAGCAAGGAACGCACCGGGCACAGCGGGGGTGAAGGCTGGAGGTGCGGGCACGGCTCTGGGGCCGGGCACAGCTCCGGGGTTCAGG